TTATTTTGCATGTGGAGTATTTCAATTAAAGGCTCAAGTGGTCATGATACCATCAAATGAAGGAACAAATAATTTATTAGATCCAACCAGTATGAGGGAGTTGAATTAAAACACTTGTTGCTAAGAAAGGGGTGCTTTAACAATTGTGCCACACTGTCAATTCAACCAGATCCCTCCCAATACCATTACTGCTATCTAGAACTCAGTCAGGTCTTCACATGTTTTGTTAAATGATTCTAAAATAAATCAAACACAATGTTAATGATGTTTTAACTAAGTAATCTTAATGACTTAAATGTTAAAAGAATGCAAAATGATGAAACTGACTTTCTTAACACTGTCATTAAACAAGTCCCTGGGTGGAAAAGTACATATTCTTCATGTATTAATTATGAGTAGTTAAAAGGGCCACAACAACAAACTTTCTGATTTTGTAGGTTACAATCTTAACCTGAAGCTGGTGAGTGAGATTTCCCCAGAAGCTAATAATGTCCATCTTTAAATATGCAGCTTGGTCTTCCCCACCTGACTGCCTTGCTAAGTACCCAATGAGTCTGTCACCTGATTGTCTAAGAGTGCATTTCTGGTACTTGTGACTGAGATTTCTGGTCTCCTAAGATCTTGCTCTATCCCACCTGCTACAGCCTCCTACTAAATTAGGTAGGAGACTGATAGAGACCAAGAGATCGGCCCAGGGATTGAAATCTCCTGAGCCATACATCGTTTCCTAACCATTTTGTTCCATCCCTACAGGACTGTCCAGGAGGTAACACTGGGGAATTCTAGCACTGCCACCAGCACAAATGGCACGCAAAATGTCTGGGCACTTTAGTAAGGTTAAACCACAAAATAATCTAAGGGAATTGAGAGATTCAAAAGATTAATTTAAATAGTGCAATTGGTCTCATTAAGATGAAGAATAATTGAAATGCTGCATAAAAATGTAAATTGAATGCTGCAGAGGTGCAATATTGCATTTGGGAATTATACCTATTGACATACACGTCAAGAACTGGTATCAGAAATATGAGAAGAAAACAGAAGTAAATTTATGAAAGATGGGAGGAGAATTTTTGTTGGAATTTGAACATTATTCCATAAGGTTACTTAGGCATTATACACCAAGCAGTGACGAACGCCAATCTAGTTGAACTTTCCTGTCTTTTGAGGTGTTCCATTATGTACCAGCACTGGAATTTGCAGATAGGTTGCTATTGGTCAGAAGCTCAATAAAACATGGTCACAAAAGAACTGGAAACTCGAGGGTCTGATTTCTGATCTGCACTAAGTGCATTGGTCTGAGCCAAAGGAGCAACAGCAAGTTACCTCAATCTACTTAGACTAGGAAAGAAAAATAAATCAGTCAATGATATGCTGAGTTAATCAAGTGCTGTAGGCCAGAAATGTCCCAGTAATCATTTATATTCTGTGTTGGTTTAGCTGTTCTGAGTCAGAACTGTGGAGGTGGTCATGGAATCACACTCAGCATAACTGAAGGAAGTATGAAATGAACCCTGTCAACCTTGGAAAATTAGTCAATTTAATTAGCTGCCATTCAAAAATTGGCTGATTTATTGAGTTTACAAAGTAATTAAACGCCATTTAATAAATTGGTCTAAGATGGTGAATTGGATTTACATAGATGATGGCAAAGGCATCAATGGCAGATTAAGTTCCTTTCACCCACTATGTGTTCACTGAAACTTTGAGCAAATTGGGAAGAAGAAATGAAGTAATTACAGAGGAGGTTAAGCGGAATTGTTGGTTTACTGCTTCATTCATATTTAGTTTGACTCACCAAGCAAGTTGTTTCTGGCGTCATCCCCTCGTCATACTCTTTCTGAAATTACAGACACAGGCAATAGGAGATAGGAAGGCCATGACAAAAAAGGTAGAAAAATAGTCTGGTTAGTGCTTTTGGCAAAGAGTTACAAGAGACTCATCACAGAGAATTCAGTATTATAATGGCTTATGTCCTTTTGTGATCTGGAAAAGCACAGAGAGATACAGCAACTTGGAATAACTATCATCTGGCAAGACGATCTGTTTCAAATTGAGGCATTTTTCACTGTGGTGCCTGAAGATTCAGGGTTGTCATGCTTTATGTATTTGAGCAGCTTTCAAACAGATACTTGCAAAAATGAAGATAAGTTGTTTTTTTCCTGACTGCATTCAGATGAAGCTGGATAAATCTTCATAGACACTGGCTACAAAGGGTGGGTCCTATTCTCAACTCTCTTTGAAATCTCAACCCATGAAACAAGTACAGACTACAGAGCATTCTGCACTCAGATGATAATGATTTTGAATCATGAAACATGTAAATGGATGCAAACACAGTTTGGGTGTGGTAACAGTGCTGTGTATCAATCTGAAATTGGATACAATTTTGTGTACTGAACTGCTCAGTTCCTCATTTGAGTCACATTGAGTTGGGAGGCTTGGGTGAAAACTGCCGCAGTCAAACGGAAAGGAAATTAAAGTTTTGAGTCATGCATGAGTGACCTCTGACATTTCCAAAGCAGTTAACTAATAGTTTTGGCAACAGCCTGAAATAAGAGTGACACTCACCATACTCTTATACTATATATGTGCTGCTGCAGCAAGTAAAAGCTAGGGGACTAAATGACAGGATGGTAGGAGAAATTTACTCAAAAATATTGCAGTGAAAAAAGTAGGAATAAGTTACTGAATACACAAGTTACTTAACTGGTGGTTGGGTTTGCTGCAATAGCAGTGCGCTTTATAAAAATAACGGGTCATTGCTGTTTGAGCAACTAATGTATTGCCAGTTTTTTTTTTCACTCCTTTAATGAATGATTCTCAGCTAGTACATCATACAGTCACATGTTACTATATTTCATTGCATCTAAAGAAACCTCAAAACCCCACATGCCCACAGCTGATACAGTGCTCAATGAGCAGAAAACCTCCAACATTATGTTATGTTGGCAGATCTGGACTGAACGAGGTGTTAAAATCAGTTATGCCTAGGCTTAATAATCCTTGAATTGGTTTCCATCGGGTAGTGATTCTTTACCTCCTGTCTAATTTGTTTCCACCTTGCTTTTGCCATAAATCAACTTTCTTGTTCTTTGGCTTAATTCTAGCAATCCACCTACCAAGCAGGGAGAGGAGGGAGAAGTAGATGATATGCTCTTCAGGTTCTGCTTTTCAGCCCCCAGACCAAGAACCCTTTGCCATACACACACTGAGGTGATTAATAACAAGCTCCTTCTTGGTTAGGATGAGTGCTCTCCAAAATTAATGTATGTCCACTTCCCACCACATTACACAAGTCTCAGAAGTAAACATTCAGCCTCCCTTCTGCCTATTATAGACACCCTTCATTGCTGCAAACAGATTCTCCCATTCCCAAATTCTCTGCTCACCCAAAGAGCTACAGACATTTGGAAATATTAGCACTTAGGACTTGGAAGCAAGAGAAGGCTATTCTACCCTTCAAACTGGTTCTATCATTTATTATTGATTGATCGGATTGTGATCTGGGCTCCGCATTCCTGTATGTGCACTTTAAGGTTAATCCTTACCACAGCTCACCGTGGTGTAAGACCCATTTGCTAATTTGTTGCCACCATTCTCTTTCCTGGCAGGGATCTACAGGGCCTGTTTGGTCTGATGCGGTCAGGGAAAACCGTTTGGCAGTCTAATAGGAAGAGGTTCTTGTTTTAAACAAGTTAGTTAACAGATAGAAACACAGAAGATAGGAGCAGGAGGAGGCCATTCGGCCCTTCAAGCCTGCTCCACCATTCTTCACAATCATGGCTGATCATCCAACTCAATTGCCTAAACCTGCTTTCTCCCCGTAACCCTTGACCTCATTCGCCCCAAGTGCTATATCTAGTCACCTCTTTAATACATACAATGTTTTGGCATCAACTACTTCTTTTGGTAATGAATTCCACAGGCTCACCACTCTGTGGGTGAAAAAATGTCTCCTCACCTCCGTCCTAAATGGTCTGCCCCGGATCCTCACACAGTGATCCCTGGTTCTGAACACATCCACCATTGGGAACATCCTCCCTGCATCTGCCCTGTCCAGTCCTGTTGGAATTTTAAAAGTCTCTATGAAATCCCCCCTCATTCGCCTGAACACCAGCAAAAGCAATCCCAACCTAGTCAATCTCCCTCATACGTCAGACCTGCCATCCCCATGATAGCAAATTGGTGTGATAGACATTGCTGCTAAGAACATGAAGGAGACCTCTACTTTAGGTCTTACTTCTTCCAGATCCATCCATCCGTGCATAAGTGACATCATCATATTGGGCAGTGCTTAAAGTATTAATACTTTTGGCCTCTTACACCCTTGTACAACACCCACTAAAGCCCTTGATTCTTCTACTTATCAAGAATCTATATAACTCTGCCTTGAAGAAATTCAAGACCTGATCTCCACATCCAATCTCAAGTTTATCCTGCAACCTCTCCTCTATGTCCTCACCTCAAGCTCTGCCAATCTTTCCTTTGCAAATAAGCAGACTTTGGCTGCACAACATTCTGCTGCCCCACACGCTGAACCCAACAGGCTGTAATATCTCAGGCATCCTGCTGCTGGCTTTTGTACCCAGAAGCCAGTTATCTATCAATCAAGCTGGCTGCCAGGCAGGAAATTCATTTTTTTTTAAAAACAAGAACAAAGTTTTGCCATTAGTATCAATAAAATTTGGCTTCTTTGGGTTCCTGTGGCACTTTGTTCCCCATTCCTTCTCTCTATAAGAAATGGGAATAATTTATCAAAGAGAATTCAGTGTGCCACAAGCAAGATGATTTCTTTTGCTTCTTCTGATTGGACACAATACATAGGACCAAACTACATGCTCACTCCAAAAGACTGCCTACAGGCTGCAACCACATTGGATCCTGTTGAAATCCTATATTAAAGCTGTAACAGGAATAATGATAACTTCACAACATCCTGTTTCACAATTTGTCAAGGCCTCAGTTGGTTTGTGATCAATTGTTTTTCTTTTAAAAAGAGTTATGATGAAACCATAATATTAAGCAAATAATAACATGGAGAAATGCAGGTCTATTTTGTGCTATAATTTTACTTTAAGGTGCCCTTCTGATTAAGATATTCCACCACTGTTTTAAGATACTTGGCATGTCCTTATGGTAAAGCGGCCTTATGTTTCCTTGCTCTAAGTAATACTTGTTTCTCCCTGAAGCAATAATGAACGTTATGCATAAAATCATGGGAATGAGTTGCATGCTGAAATCAAATTAAGGATCTACATTGGATTATTTGCACAATTAAGGTTGAATTCAATCAAGATTTTCAAGTGGTTTAGAAAGAGAATAACTGACGGGAGTAAATATCAAGGGGACCCTAGCAACATTTGAGTCAATGGGAATCAGGGAGAAAACCCTGCTTGTTGGAGTCATACCTGTAACTAAAGAGAATTGTTATGGTTGTTGAAGTTCAGATATCTCAGTTCCAGAATGCCTTTGCAGGAGTTTCTCGGGGTAGTGTCCTAGGCCCAACCCCTTTCAGCTGCTTCATCAATGACCTTCCCTCCATCATAAGGTGAGAAGTGGGGATCCTTCAGCACCATTCGTGACTCCTCAAATACTGAAACAGTCCAAATGCAGCAAGACCAGGCCAACGTCCAGGCTCAGGCTGACAAGTGGCAACAAACATTCACACCATTTATCTCTGAGGAAATAATGATCTCCAATAGACAGAATCTGACCATCATCCCTTGACATTCAATAACTTTACTGTCAGTGACACTCCCACCATCAACATCCTGGGGGCTTACCAGAAACTGAATCAGACTACACATATAAATATTGTGATTACAAATGCTGGTCAGACGATAGGATGTCTAAAGCAAGTAACTCACCTTCTGACTCTCCAAAGTATATCCACCATCCAAAAGGCACAAGTCAAGAATGTGATGGAATACATCCCGCTTGCCTAGATGGGTGCAGCTCCAATGACACTCGAAGCTTGACGCCATCCATAATAAAGGAGCCACTTGTTTGGTACCACATCAACTCCCTTCAACATTAACACCAGGTAGCAGCAATGTGTACTATCTAGCTACCCACAACCCATGTATCAATAAAGAAGACCTGCTAATTATCTATATGATATATAATTTTCCTTTTTTATATTAATAAACTTTCCTTTAATATTTATCTCTATGTCATTTAATAGCCCAAGTTCCTTTGACTTTTGCAAAATTGAGAAATAGAAAATTTAATCCTCTTGTTATTAATTTTTCAACTTGCGGAAATTATTCACTCTGTCAAAGATATCGTAATTTCAAAAACATCCATTAGATCCCTCATTAAAATTCTCTGAAGGGAAATGTTTCTTGCCAGCTTTTTGTAGTTGCGGTTCCTCACTTTTGGCACGAATACCCGTCCAATTATCAGATGGCTAAAATCGCAGTCAATGTTCTCAGATGTAGCCTCAGCAAAATCCTGTACAAATCCAAAATCACTTACTCATTTTTAATACTTTGTGTACAGAATGCAGAATCTCATTTTTATCTTGTTTAAGAATTTTCCTTCTACCAGCACGTCTAAACTGTTAAGATAGTCACAGCCAAGGGCGATGATACAGGGTAAAACAGCACAACCAAAATAGTTCCAGCCCAGAGCCAGCTCACATGTTAATCTACCCCAAGTGACTAGAAGTGAGAAATTGCGTCATAAATCATTAATTCAAAATTCCCGATAGCAAAAAGTTGTCCCCCACTTCCAACAATCTTTATCAAACAAAATGAGCTGCTGACCAGTCATTAGCTAATACACAGGATTAACATTGGAACGTATTAGTGCTTTGCAGCCATTTTAATGCTACCA